ACCCTACCCGACGGACCCGACGGCGAGCGCTACAATGCTTTACTGCCTGTAAAAAGTTAATAAAACGCTGTGGTGGGTTTTTTTTTCACGTTTCCAAAAGACGAGGCTTCAACTCTACCAAAACAACAGTCCAAGTGTATTTTTCTCAATTTGTTTGGCAATAATTTAAACAATTAACTAAAAAAATAACAGCTCTGTGAATATAAGGGACAGTCGAAATGAAACGCAGCAGTACACATATATCCGCTCGCTTGACTCAGTCATGTTAGGTGTCAAATTAAACTAGAGAAGCTCATCTTTCTGCTGATACCAAGCAAAACATTATCCGACCTAACCAGCTCATGTCAGCCCCGTAGCAAAGACGCAGCAAAATTTAGCATTTTATCGTCAAAATGTGAAATTCTGTGTTTATGTCTCAATATTCCATCAAATAACAAAGCAATTGTCATCAACTTTTTTTACTTTGGGTATGTCTTTTTAGGCGTTTTTTTCTGAAAATATGAATAGGGCTTAAGAGGTTAACAGAACTCAAGAGAAGCAGTACAATTAAAGAGGTTTTGCATCTGAGATTTGTGCTAAAGAAATTAAACGCCTGTCCCAAATAGACGCTTGTCCCAAATAAAGGCAAATCGGTGATTTAAGCAAATAAACGTCCGGGCTATTATTAGAAGTTTTATGGTATTACAACTTAAGAGATCCCCTCCAGACATGTATTAAGAAAGTTACGAATCTCCTCCTATCTCATTAAAATGACAGAATCTATGAATATGCATATGTTCATTTCTAAGGTTTTCCTGCTGGACACAAGATGTCTCCTACTTCACTGTAAAGTCCATTCTCAGAGGATGTGCACTGGTGGCTTCAAGTTTCTACATCACACTGTACAAGTTGCATACTGGACCAGGACTGACTTCAAACTGTTTGTGAAGTCAAAATCAGATTTTCAGTGAGCACAGAGAAACAATCTACTTTTAGCAGATGTGATAATATCCTTCGAGTGTCAAACTCTACACATGTATATTTACTGATGGAGGTTTTCTGTATTAAATAGGTTGCAGTTATGAAAAACACATTTTGTCTCAGAAACAAACTCTACAATAGCTCCTTGTGTTTCTGTGACCCCCAGATATTAAAAACAGGGCTCGTCCGGGATTTGAACCCGGGACCTCTCGCACCCTAAGCGAGAATCATACCCCTAGACCAACGAGCCTTAATGTCCAGCTGTTTACAGCTGTGGTTCTATGCTTCTAAGACCTGTGCTCAAACATCAGGGTGATGATGTGGCAACTTGGGACACCTCATATTATATAGTCTAACAGCACCCTCTGGTGGTCATAATTATATGGTCATCTTACTGTGACATTGAACCCTAAAAGCACTGAAACTGCACCTCTTTAATATCTAAACGTTAAGGTAGGGTTAAAAGTCAGCTAAGTAAACCAAGAACTAAGGAGCAGAATATTTCCACTTTTAAGATCATGGTGATCAATGAGGTCCAGTGTGTAGGATTTAGTGGCATCTATCGGTGTAGTTGCACATTATAATGCCTCACCCTCCTGTTCTTAGTATGTAGGAGAAACTATGGTCGCCCCGAAACTCACAAAAAATGTATCTATCTAGAGCCAGTATTTGGTTTGTCCGTTCTACAGCGTGTTAAGAAAAGACAGTTGAAATGTGGTGAGACTTAAGCACATAAAGTGGTGGGTAGAGTACTGAAAGTCTATTCTCAAGTTAAAGTACAATTGCTCCCATAAAATATGACTAAGGTCAAAGTGAAAATGAACATTTAAGAAGCCTACTCAAATAAAAATAAAAAAGAAATACCTGGTCACTAAAGTACTCAAAGTATAAGTTACTTTTGTGATTTTGGTATAGAAAGTGTGGCTTTGGTCTGTCATTGTACTGCAAAAATGTACTCAAGTAAAGAGTAAACCTGCAGGCTGTGTGTTGTCACTTTTGTCTCAGAAATAAACTTTACAGTAGAACATTTCTGTGACCCCAAGGGGTTAAAAGGAGGGCTCGTCCGGGATTTGAACCCGGGACCTCTCGCACCCAAAGCGAGAATCATACCCCTAGACCAACGAGCCAACTTATATGAATATTCACAGCTGTTTGTCGGTACCACAAGGCTTGAACTCTTCAACTTGATGTTGCATTTTGGTGTCCTGCACCTCATCTTGACAAAGCATGTCACTTGTGAGACAGCCCATCATTGAAATTCAGGAAATTAAAATCAAGTAAGAATCTCAAGTATAACCTTAATGAGAAGATGAAACCATACTATCTTCACTTGTTGCGGCAGTTTACTTCCCCCAAACGCAAATTCAGAAAGTGCACTGCAGGATTATGTCCTAGGTGTATACATGCATGTATATATGTATACAAATATTTTATTTTATATGTGATTATATGAATTTGGTTATATTTTTCTATGAGTGTATCATGAGAGAACTACAAGCTTTTATTTTGTTATTCAACCTTGTGTTGTATGATGATAAACACATTTTCTCGATTCTTTGAGATTGTAACTCCCTCGTTTTACCATCTCCAAGAGCAAAGGAAAAGGTAGAGTAACTGTACCAAGTCTCATATTTTCCAACCACTTAAAGGTCCAGTGTGCAACATTTAGGAGGATCTAAAATCTGAAAATAAGAATTGTTGTGGTTTTGGAATGTTAAAATGAGACGTTTTATCTACAGAAGCCGGGAACCGAGAATCATACCCCTAGACCATATTAGACCCTAATAATAATTTTTTTTACCAAACACCCCCTTTTTTATATTTTTACTATTGTTATTCTATGTTCATCCTACTGTGCCTAATAATAGCCTCTAATATTGATGTAGGAAAAACAAAAATAATCCTGAGAGGATAGCTACACTGTTTCTTAACTAAGACAAAGCTGTGTAGAAGACCACCACAGAGTGGTAGAACATTTGCAGACAGTAGATAGAGGGATCACTTCAACAATGTCATTGGACAGTACAATGTCCAGCTCCAGCTTCTTTGTTTTGACATAAGAACCTCATCATATTTTTAAGAGCTCCAGTGTGCACTCCAACAATGTTCAGGATTAAGAAAGCAGGGCTCGTCCGGGATTTGAACCCGGGACCTCTCGCACCCTAAGCGAGAATCATACCCCTAGACCAACGAGCCATATAAGTAAAGGGAAACAGAGTGATATTGTCACTTGAACACTTGAACTCCACATTTATCTACTCTGGCCCTTGAGCACTTGTCTTCTGAACTCTTCACAGAATTCTCCTTTAGTGTTGCTCATCTCTGGCATTACTTGCTGACATCAGACGCCTCTGCCAGCTGACTTGACCACTTTCTGTAACAGTGTAAGAAAGACATAGACTTAACCTAATTTGGTAGTGTATTTAGATGCATATGGTTTGCTAAAGCACAGTGTATTTACATGCCAGATAATAACAGCCTCGTATATTTCCATATAGAGTCTGTTGTGGCCAGAGCGATCATCTTCGCTGTCACATGCTGGGGCAGTGGACTGAAGGTCGCAGACACTAACAGAATAAATAAATGTATCAAGAGGGCCGGTGATGTCATGGGGGAGGAGCTGGACACCCTGACGACTGTGGCTGAGAGGAGGATGCTGTCCAGGCTACAGTCTATCTTGGACAATGTCTCACATGTCTGTCACCCAGATGCACCACAGAGCGCCACAGGAAATCATTCCTGCCTGTGGTCATCAAACTCTACAACGCCTCCCTCAGAGAGTCAGACACCCCCTCTCTGTAATCTGACCTCAAACACAGACAATCATTTTTGCACTTTTTACACATTTTAAACTGTACATTTTACCTTTATATATATATATATATATATATATATATATTTATAGGTATTCTTAATATATTATATGTTGTATGTATATCTGGAGTTTGTAACGAAAGTCATTTCCCCCTGGGATTATTAAAGTATTTCTGATTCTGATTCTGATAGGAAATTTCATCCTGCAAAGATGGCTACCCACCTCAGCATGCAATGGAGTAACCTTTCTTTTGTGTCATGTTTTATAGGCTCAGAGGATCCCAGTCCCACTTCAGCGTTCTGTCTAGTGTAGTAGTGGGTGAATGAAGTGCACAACCACAAAGTACTGTCACAATATATGACATATTGTCTTACTGTGTCATGAATAATGCTTATTGTATTCCCTTTTTCTACTGATCCAGTTTAAGTCAATTTAGTTTTTGCATCACAATTTTAATTTTTTTTAATTGTGATGATGTGACATTTGTTGAGGTCTGTACCAAACAAACATGTTTTCATACATCTGGGGAAGAAGATTTGTAGGCCAGAGCATCTCTGCAAAGCTTTTTTATCACACACCTTATCTTCATCAAAAAATTGCAGCTTCTGTGGTTTAAATATTGTACGTGGTCACATTGTGATTTCAGTTATATTTGTATTAATTGTGCAGTCCTATATTAAACCAAATATTTGTATTTGTATGAACATCATTTGTAAGGAATAGCATCTGTGCTAATGCACCTATTTCTGTCACACATCAGTCATTCATTAGTAATACAATCATACCATGAGTGCCAGTAATAGTGACTGAGACACAGGATTCATTAATGCCCTGAACTTACACTGTTAGGCAATAAATAGCTTTGCATGTAGTATTCACTTTCATTTTGCTTGTTTGTAATACACACTTATTACACAAACTCCCTCATCGGAAGCCAGATACAAACTCACACCATAAAATGTTTTGTCTACGTGCCATATTATGTAGCTGTAGTCGCTGCCTACAAGTCACCGTTTAGGTCAAACTTAACCCACGTTTCGTTCCCAGTCCGCATGTCCGCATGCTGGAGTTAGCTTTGTGCTAATAGAGTATCTGCGCCTGCCTGCTGTCTCATTTACAAGATGGCAACCGAAGCGAAACGACCTAAGGTTACAATTGAATCAGTTTGAACGCAGCGGACAGAAAGCTGTACCTGTTTGTATAAGTGTGTGTGTGTGTGTGTGTGTGTGTGTGTGTGTGTGTGTACACAAGCTAACGTTTAACTGTAGCCACAGGCAGCTTCGTGCGTGTGGTTTCATCCTGTGCTGTCTGTGTGTAACAGTATGTGTGCTAAAGTTAGGGACAATCTACTGAAGCTAGCCAGCTGAAGTTAGTAACGCAGGTAGTCACTGTAGTTGTCTGATAGCAGCTTGTGTTAAAAAGTCCACTGTCAGCAGATGAATGTGAAAACATCCTTCTAGTGTCAAACTCTGCACAGACAGCATTCAGACAGCACACTGTAGGGACTGCAAGAGAAGTAGAGAGACTTACATTGTGTTTCATCCATGCACTGACAGGTAGCTGGTGGTTCAGAGCTCAGTCCCCTGCAGGACTTTCTACAGTGGTGCGACAGAGTCTGCTTGGTACTCAGCAGTAAGGTATGTTATAACAACCTGCAGTAGACTGCCAGGATTGTCCCACAGAATGACATATCTCTGGGACTGTCTCTCAGTTAGCCAGCCTATGATCTGTTCTTTCCTGCCATTTTTAATTGTTTAGTATTTAACACAAGTTTGAATCCTGTGCACTTTTCTTTAGCTGAATTGATCACAGTCTCCCGAACCATCTCTACAGAGGGCAGCTTCATGTCTTCATCTCTTCTCTCTTTCCCTCTAGGTGTGTGTGAGTAAAGAGGGAACAGTGGCTGAGTATGGGATGCTGGCAAAGGACAACATAGAGGAGGGGGAGGTTTTATTCACCATCCCCAGATCAGCTCTTCTCCACCAGGGAACAACCAAGATCTCAGCCCTGCTGGAGAAAGGTAACAGTTTTAATTACAAATACGTTTCCCAACCATTGAAACTGCCTGCATTTGTAACTTCTTTGTTTTTCTTTTTGTGCTTCACAGAGAGGGCTTCTCTAGAGAGCCCGTCTGGCTGGGTTCCCCTTCTGCTGGCTCTGCTGTATGAGTATACGTCCTCACAGTCCCACTGGAAACCCTACCTCTCCCTGTGGACCGACTTCAAGGCACTGGACCACCCCATGTTTTGGTAAGAAACCTGTTTAAATCAGCATCTAACCCCCAGTCTAGAGATCACCTTCTGCTGCTGTGTTAAAACGTATAGTCCATCCGTTCAGGTCTAAAGAGGAGAGAGACAGACTGTTGAGGGGAACAGGTATTCCAGAGGCTGTGGACACAGACCTGGCTAACATCCAGAGGGAATACACAGACGTGGTTCTTCCCTTCATTACCAAGCATCCCGACCTCTGGAACCCTGACACACACACTCTGGAGCTGTACAAACAGCTGGTGGCCTTTGTCATGGCTTACAGGTTAGTCCGCAAAATACAAAAACAAATACACTCATGTACACAAAGTTTCTGGATCACGTTTTCCTTGTCTCCTAAATTCACCCATGTCATCTCCTTCGTCTCTCTGTAGTTTCCAGGAGCCACAGGAAGAGGAGGACGATGAAGAGGAAGAGGAGGAGGGGGAGAAGGCTGCCAACCCACCGATGATGGTTCCTATGGCAGACATGCTTAATCACGTGTCCAATCACAATGCTAATCTGGAGTTTACACCAGTGAGGGGACACATCCACTTCTAATAATGACACTTTCTTGTTTTCAAAGTCGAGATTAGTCTAGATAGTTTGTTGTTTGGTTTGAATAGCTTCTCATCTGAAAACGCATCACTGAGAAGTGCAGAGTTTTTGTTTTTTTGTTAATTGAAAAGTATATTTGACATTGAGACTTAACTTGTGTATTAACTCTCCCTTAATGGAGTGTCAGTTTCTTAGAATATTTCAGTTTTTTCTGACTTTCTATTGTTTGTATTGAACTGTCCTTGTCCCCTTCCTCTCTCATTCTCTCTACACTCCGTCTTTCCCAGGACAGTTTGAAGATGGTTTGCGTGCGCCCCATTCATAAAGGCGAGGAGGTATTTAACACCTACGGGCAGATGGCCAACTGGCAGCTGCTGCATATGTACGGTTTCACAGAGCCGTATCAAAGCAACAGCAACGACACCGCTGACATCCCCATCACCAACCTCTACAAAGCCGCCACACAAGGTGACACATTACAGCACCACAGGAGAGTTAAAGAAACAAGATAGACGTTGGAGCACAAACCACTTTAACCAAGCAAATAATGACTCAGTGGGAACAGTTTAGTGAGGAGGTGATACATGAGGGCAAGTTGTCATTAAGGACTATATAAATGAAGAGGAACCACTGCCTGTCACATCTTACTGTTACAGATGTCCAAGTTTAGGAGAAAATAAGTTATTTTCTCAGTAGAATCATGTTATTTTCAATGACTAGTTCAGCCCTGTTCGGATTCTGTGACTGTGGGGAGCAAACCCAGATGTTCTCTAAATGGTCCGTCAATGGTGACTGGGTCACTTTACTCAACCATTAAATGTGGCTTTTAACTGGTTCAGCTGCCCTCTGTAGACCTTCTTCTTTGTCTACTACGTTCTTAGAATTCACCCTTAATTTAGTGGAAGATAACATTCAGGAAATGGTGGACCCAATTACAAGCCTGTTGCTTTGTGCCCCCCCCCCATGCTCCTGTTCCCAGGTATTCAGTCTGATTCGGACCGGCAGCTGTTGGACGAGCAGTGGGAGATGCTGTGTGAGATGATGCAAGAGAAAGCAGCCTTTGTCTTTGGCAAACAGGGCTGCCTTACAGACACAGAGCTGCATACTGTGCTCAAGGTGAGGGAGTAGACACTGCACCAAACCTGGAAATACACACCAGAGACCACTCTGTCGAGGAATGACTGTTACTGGGAACCTAACTCTTGCTTTGTTTATCTTCAGGTGCTGTGCATGTCTAAGGAAGAGTTCGCAGAGTTCAACGATAATGAAGGATGGGAGGAAGATGAAGAGGAAGACGAGAAGATCTCCCTTGCTTTCTCTAACGAGGGTCTCCCTGGGTTAAAGGCTTCATGGAAAGGACTGATTCACGAAGCAGCCCGTCTGACTGTGAGGTCCTATGGAGACGATCAGGAGGGGAAGAGGGAGGGAGGGGATGTGGACAGAGACAAGGCGCTGATAGAGAACATGGTGGCACTTGCAGGACTGAACAGCAGGCGGCAGAATGCACTGCAGGTACGCTACGGACAGAAAAGCATCCTGCACAGACTGATGGCGCTCACTCAGTCGTGAGTTCAGCTGCAGCAGTGAGCGGGACCACAGGCGGAGTTTGTTTTTTTTATCTCAAGGGGGAAAACTAAAATGTCTCCCTCAGAATACACAGTCAATAAATGTTTTTTTCCTGAAAACTGATCTGATTTTGAACACTCCTTGTTTCACACTGATTTTAACACTACACACTATCAGTGTTAATATGTACAATTTCTGCTTTCTGCAAGGTACAAACCACCCAGACGCACACATAAGGAGGTATCTAACTGCACTTATTAGGACTCTGAGGTCATATCAGAGTGCACATGACGGTCTACAAAACTCATCGTCGCTGTTTTAAACTCCTTGAAAGTTCTAAATGATCTGACCGTGTTCTAAGATGGTCAGTGTTTACCAACAGTGGATCACTTCCTGGCTCTTCTTGCTATGTGAAAAACAAAAATCATTCTTAACATTTTATTCCAAATATGAGATGATAATTAATTTTATAATAGTCAGTTTGTGTCTTAACTGTTCTGCCTTTTGCTGGTCAACAAATAAAAGTGAAACCGATATAACCGATGAAGTGGAATCATTAAAATCACTTTGCTTCTTTCTCCAAACGCCTCTTAGTTCTTTATTTAAGTGATTACTCATTATACCCTCTCCAAACCCCCACAAAGACAGGTGATCTGTTCATTAAGCAAATGTATAAATACAAAAATCTTTACATTTAGGAAGCAAACTAAATGAAGAGTGGGAGTTAAACATTTAACCATTTCAATGTAAAGCCCTTTCAAATGTATTATCTGTCTCCAAACATGGTGTCATGCATTCATCACAGTCAGTGACAAGCTTGTCCGCAGCTTTATCTAGATTTTAAGGAAAGAGTTGAGCTAGTGCACAACAAATCAAAATACATAAAAATGTGCTACAACAATGCAACAGAGGCATGTTTTGTACGGCTTACTCATGTTGATAATCACTATAAAGGTACATTTTGTACTTGAGCAACACTTTTAGGCAAGTCACGAGCAAATCTGGCCCAAAATGTGTCAGGGTTGGCCAGTTACTGCAGTGTCTTCCTGAGGAACTCAACCAGGAGGTGATGGGGGAAACCAAAATCCATCTCAATCACCACAAAGCCCTGCAGCACAGAGAGGGACAGAGAGAGGCAATGTGACTGAAAAATACAACCCAAAGAGGAGCAAATAAAAAGAAAAAAAGTAAATAGAGAGCACTCACATCTCGAGGAAGCACCACTGGGTTAAAGATGTCGAATAGGTTAACTCCCTGTTTGTCCAACAGCCTGGTGATCTCGATCTCAAGAGCTGGAACACGCGCCACAGAAGTATTACAGAAAACCACATTACATACTAACTTGGCTTTACCTCTTTTACACAACTGGAATTAAATGAAACATAATGCAACATGTAACCATTACAGGTTCCACTTGCATCTCCTCAAAATACATTTTCCAAGTACTTTCAAGTTACTTAGTAGTGCTGTTGACCGTGACTGGTCTTGCACATTTTTTCTTACCAGACAGAACCTTGGGAATGCCAATCTTCTCCACGGCTTCTCTTATGAACTCCACCTGTGTCTGATCCAGCAGCTGCACACAGAGGGAGAGGTGACCTTACATTAACACATGGGCGTACTTTGAACAAGCGACAAAAATAATGTAAGTGGCGAGAGTAATTTTACTGATTACTAAGTGGTATCAGAAGAATAATCAATATACTACAATATGTGTCAGTTTCAACTAGAGTTTATACACAACAGACATACAGTTACTCAGTCAAATGTGGCCACGGTCAATTTGTGCAGTTTTTGTGCCAAATTGAAGTTTTCTGGTCTGTTAACTTTTGGGGATAGTGCTTTTATTTTGAAAGATTAGGTCAGGAAGTCTTACTGATGTTGACCACAGGTGGGTGATGCAGAGTTTGTTTCAGGATAAAGTGAAAGTGTTTCCCTCCATGTTCTGGAGCTCTGTAGTTCTATTGCAGCCTGAACTGAACTGCATTTAAATTGATCCCTTTATGTGAAATATCTCAAACATTTCCCATACCATTTATAATCAATGTGAAAAACCCCTGAATGCAGCTTTAAACTATAGTATAGTTTCACTGTGGTATTTTCCTCAACAAGAAAACTGTCAACTCAAAAACCTTACCGGTTGATTCTGTAAAGGCAGCTCAGCTTTGACTACAATGGTCCTGGAGAGGAAGGAGGATCAGAATCACACAGCAAGCATGGGACATGGACTAAGAATTTGACTTGATATAGTGGTAGATATACAGATATATTAGTAATGAACTGATCACTAGCCACTGAAAATAATGGGATATAGAGGCAGGAGCTGGAAGGCAATGAGTGTAGTAGGAGAACGACCAAACACGGCTGCACGGTCTACTATACAGCTCCTCAGTGCAGAGGGAGAATTATAGTTAGTTATTATAGTCCGATTATTACGTTATATCTTCGGTGGAAATGTTCCCATACTTCAGATTTTATCTTTCTAGTGCACATCGCCATGTTTCTCTTTTTATCCAACTAATGTGCATATACAACCAACTGGAACACCATGAATGCCTTTGGGGAAATGTGGCCCATTATCCTCATTTGAACCACTGCCGCATTTCACCTCTCTGCAGACAAACACTGTATAAAGTGGCTCATTTAGTGTCACCATCTGCCTATGCATGGCAGCAAGTTTGTAAAAATCAACCACAAAGGTCTTACTCTGTCGGGTTACCGTGCAGGAAGAGTTTCTTGTCAGCATAGGAAACTGTGACCTCCATGGCCACATCCTTAACATCAAAAACAAAGAGAGAAACATCACCGAAAACACACTCACATGGCAGACATAGGCACACATTGTCATATTATGTAACAAAGCCTCTGGCATCAATCAGCCAGTGACGTTACGTTTGAAGCAGACTACTCAACACAGTATCGACCTTCCAAAGCAGAACTATCTCGCCTAGATGTACTTATGCCTCACTAAATGCTGTGTGAGGCCTCGTTCCATTACACTAACTCTAAAACTTTATTGTAACTGGTCGCTTACTGCGACAATAAATGTAAAATATCCTATTTGAAAGAAACACAAACAGGCCTGTATGGATATCTTTTAATCTAGTTACTCAAATGAATAAACTGCTCTACAATATTTCACTGTTCTACACCACAGAGGAGGGAAACAGTGGTGTGGAGGAATTTTGTGTTTCGGTAGTGTTGGATGCATGGTCAGCACTCAAACATCACATTTTCTGCTTTCTTTAACTTTCTACCAGATGGCTGAAAATGTGCTGCCCCAAAATAATTGTACCGTTTCAAAGAAGAGTGTCGGTGTGTCTGGACTCCCACAGTGAAGCTGCCCAGAGGCCATGACCCAGACGGTCGTACCAATGGTGGAGGTGTTCAGGTGGGGAACTGATGAACTCCACACTCTTAGTTCAGGGGAACCAGATTCCAGCAGACACTGAACACACACACACACACACAAAATAATATGTGTCATTGGACAGGTGTATGTTTGTATTTGAGTGAGTTTAGGGATGAGGAGGTTTTCCATATTACCTTTCTAATAAATTCCGGCATGGCAGTGGAGAGACTTGTCTTGAAAAGTTCCTGAAATCACATTAATAAATATAATGTGAGAATGAGCTTAAAGAGAAGCAATTTTAGTTTAAACATCTGTGCCCATCTGGTTCTTGTCAGTAAAGATGTACACGTGCATAGCATATTTTATGTCTGCAGTGTTTTTCTCGTATTCAGAGCCAGGAGGCAGGGGCCAATCTAGAGAAATATTCATGGGGTAGCAGGAGGTACAATGGAGACTTTAAGGGGTGGTGATGCTGATTTAATCGAAAACAATCTCATATATCAATGCTTGAAAAAGCCCCCAAATGATGAAATTAGAACTCAAAAACATTACATCATTGTGGCACATTAGTAAAGCATTGAATAGAAATATCTAATAGAAATTAATAAATCGTTTTATTTCCAAATACATGTCTGTTTCAATGAACTTAACCTCTCACTTAGTCTAAAATGTGACCATAACAGACCACTGCCACTAAGAATATCAGTCAGATTTCTAATCTCTAAGCAGTTATTTCCATCAACAAGATACTGCACCCATGTATGATGTTAAATGCAGCCTGCCTGGATGTTCTACAGGCCATATTTGAAGGCGATGCACTTACAGTGAGCTCTGCTCCAGAAATGTTGAGTTGGAAACGGCCATCTTGGTGGGCAGCAGCAAGCATGGGGTTAAAGACCTGGTCTGGGGTTAAATGCAAATTATAGCTGTATAATTCATACACACACCAAACTACCCTGCTGCTATAAGCTGCTGTTCCTTGGCTACCGTACTGGAGGAGATTGTTATTTCTTACTGATTCAGCAATGTCTTTACAAAACATGGTGGACATGAAAACCACCTTACAAAATTAGTTCATAAGTTACTGTAGTGTATATATATATATATATATATATATATATATATATATATATATATATATATATACATATACACACATTATTATTATTTTATTTTATTTTATTTTATTTTTTTAAATCTAGTTAATACATCATTATACCACATGCACATTCTCAGGGGATGCCAACCTAAAAGTTGCTGTCTAAACTATATCAGTACCATCCTTACCACTACACTAGAACGCCATTGTTAGACAAGGCTTCATAACTCACGTTTTTAAAATTCTTTCTTTCCAAATACATCTGCACATATCAGCTGGGGTACGGACGAGGTCAGGGAAAGATTGTGATAATAGTAAATAAACTATGGTTAAAGTTAGGCAACATAAGCCTTAATAAAAGACACACTACTTCCTGCATTGGCACCAAACGTTGGCACTGGGCATAAAAGCCAGGCTGGGCTACGCAGATAGTATATCAACATCTAAATAGCGAGAGATTATTTTAATACAACTGATTTTGGTCTAGAGAAATGGATTGATCAACATATCTCGTTGTTATTAACGTCACACCTAGAACATAAGACTTACTAAACTTAGGATTGGGACATGCCACATTCACATACCACAGCGGACACATCTTTTAATGTACCTTTCTTCTGTAATGTGCATGAAGTTCCACATTTCAAAAGCAAATGCAGTGGTAACTACTGACCTGACAACCAAAAGTAGAGCATCCTGTTTTCAGTCAGCTGACTGGGGTGGAAAACAGAGTCACTGATGACAGCGGAAGTGTTGTTGTACTTGGTCAGCCCCTGGAAGAAAGGTCGAGGGATGAACAGAGAGAGTATGAGCTTTAGATTCTTGTCTGCATATACACTCAGAACTCCTGCTATCAAAGAATGATACAGAGCGGACTGTGCAAAAGTGAATGGAGCTGAACAACAGCTGCGATTTCATTGAAAATTATATATCACAACCCAGTCTCCCATAAACTAATGTGGTGTCAATGTTTGACAGTGTTGACAGTTTCTCTATGTAACCGTAGTCTTTTGCCAGTCTTGACCTCTTCTAACTCACTTATAAACATCATTTTCAGAAGGTAAGGTTCTGACTGTATATACAGGTATTATTTACCTTGTGATATGATTCTATGTAGTTAGCAGTGATGGCAGGAGAAGCAGTAACACCGATATCCACACTGATGTTTCCATCAGTGAGGAAATGCTCTGTGAACACACACACACACACACACACACACACACACACACACACACACACACACACACACACACACACACACACACACACACACACACACACACACACACACTGTTAAGAGACATCCCAGATAAAATGTGAACATTTATTCATACAGTGTCAGATCAATATTTATCTAAATTATTTAATAATGATTATATTATATTTAATAATTAATGTAATGTTGTACACACACATGACCAAAGGAATGTGCTTTCTAAAAGATGTAAAGGTATCAGACTCTCTCTATTTTTCACACACACACACACACACACACACACATACACACGTACACACACCTGCTGTGTCTTGTATGAAGTCAGCCAGTATATTTGCCACCTTGTTGATCTCCTTACAAATCTGCAGAACCAAATAAGAAGACATGAAGACGCTAACTGTCAGTTTGTGGCGATTTACGCTGCCAGGCTGAAATTGTGTGTGAGTTCTGTTTCTCTTGCACTCACCTGTCCCTTTATGGCTACTCTGACGGTGAAGGTGATGAAGTTGGTGACAAGCTTTTTAAGCCAGTTCGGTCTGACCAACAACAGCAAACACACGTTAGCAGGGTCAGACACGGTTAGTATTACATAATGAAGATGCTTCTGCTGTTCTGCTCACGGTTCAGTTTGGTAACTTACTCTTTGTCTCCCTGCAGTTGCAGATGGAGCTTGTGAAAATTCAGATAACAGTCTGATGTGTCCGCTGCCACCTTCCCTCCTCCACAGTCTGACAGAGATAACAGAGAACATGATGAGAGGAGATATAAGGTGAGATGAAAGACAGTTAGTTGGTATCTATCTTTATTGTTCAGTGCTTGAATTGTAATGAAAAAGGTTCCCAGTGAGTACCGGCCCAGTTCAAGCACTATTCTTACTACAGTTTCTATCAAGCAGTCCCTGTGCACAGTACAAAATCAGATACTTACAAAGTTTGGGGTTGATTCCAAGATCAATCTGAGACTCAATTTCAAAGTCAATTGAATGTGTTACGTTGACACTATGAAAATGAAAAAGAAGTACAAATAAATACAATGATGTCACCATGGCTGAAAGTTCAACCCACAGAAAGTCAAGCTTAATCAACAGGAAACCCACAGAGAGGGGTGCTGCTGGTTGACTGACATGTAAGCAGTTAGAGCACAGCAACAGTGAACTAAAATACCAGCTGGAATTCTGAAGAGCAAAACAAGTGATATTGTGAGATAAACATAAATACTAAAACATAATGTAACAGCCGAGATAGAGAAGAATCACAAAGGCAGCAAACAAAGTGAATATAGCAATATCAAGGTACCACGAGGTATCCCAACCTTGATAAACACTCACTTGTGACAGTTGCATCTGATGGTGTAATATGCAGAAATCTAAAGGCTCTTATACACTCGCCGTTCCCGACCTGTAGCGCGACAATGTGACGTCACGGGAGCGCTGTGACTATTTATACTTGCGTGTGGTGGTCGTGACACTAGTTGCAGTCTTCTCCTGAACAGAGGTATCGCAACTGAGGAAAGGCTACCGACTTTGCTATTTCTACGCACTAGAAGAAGAAGAGGTCGTGGAGGTTCTTCCAAATTTTCCGGCATATGGCCTCCTCTTTTCTGGCACCTCTGGGCCTCTCTGTGTTCCTTCATTGAAGGATCGTACAGATGCCTGTAGAGGTGCTCTTGCTCGGAAAGCTTGCCCTCAAACTCGTCCATCTTCCTGTTTCCGCTTTGGCGCGCTTAGCTGAAAAAAAAGAGTGGTGCGCGACCTGGCCTTCCGACTCGTCGTGTAGCAAATGCCCAAAGACAAACTGGAACGCTATAAGTGGTAGTGGAAGTCAATTCTCACTGTTTTTTCACGTTGAGTTCAACTTTGGTGAACTCTGACCCACAAATCAGTGCTGTTGATAGCAAACCGCCTTCAAAGTGCTGACCCTGGAGGGAACGGAGAGTCCAAAATGGAGGAACATATTAGCTGTGCCACATTCCCTTTCTATTTAATCTCTTCAGTCATATAAACGGCTCCACAAAAGAGGAATAGTTTTGGGGAGTAGCTGGTTCAACTTCTTATGTAACAAATGTATCATCTCTTTGTATAAAGAGAATAAAGTTAATGTCTCATTGATGAAAGGTAACAGGTTTGCTAACTGACTGTTAGCATACAGTTAGCTCAGACTATTAACTCTTTATTAAACTCATAATTTTAGGCCTCTGGTCAGCTGCTGGTCTTAATTATTTGATTTATTTTTATTCCTACTATCTCAAGGGGTTTTAACTTGTATTATTTAGGCGATGTGTGTGCTTTAATTGCAATAACTTATGTCTTATAGTTTTTGTGGCTGAAACGTTCATTTGTAGTAGCTCGTGCACTGTCCACCATATTGTGCTTCTAGCTGGAGTGAAATGTGCTAGATAAATAAAGTTTTGCTTGCTTGCTTATGGAATGAAATAAAATCTGATCCTTAGAACAAAATGCCAGACTGGATTAAATGTGCTAGCATTTCCCACTGGTCAGTATACACTAATGGATACATACCTTTGAATATTATATTCCATGTCTGCCAATAGATCCTCCTAAATGTTACACAGTGGTCCTTTAAATAGACCTAACAGGACTAAAAATAACTAATACAGACTATTTTATGTTGTGTTTTAAATATGGGTTATTTTTCATCATGTGCTTTTCTAGTTTCTTTCACTGGGTTTGTACTGAGAGAATGACGAATGATGATGTGGGATGTTGCTCACACACACTCAGACTCACAGCCAGCCACCGTATCCATACTGGATGGTCCCTCTGAAGACTGCTGACACATTGCTTATTTTCATGCCGATGCCTTCACCTGGACGCAGTTCAAATTCACTCCGGCCAATCGACAAGTTGTGGATCTCCAAACTGGTGAGAAGCAATACATGATTTTAATACATTTTGTGTGTCCATCTGTGCATGTGTGTATATGAGTGTGTGTGTGTGTGTGTGTGTGTGTGTGTCCTCTTACTTTTCCAGACCATATATGACTTTGCCTATAAAGAGCAGGGATTTCTCTCCCCTTACATCTGGGTATCTGGCATGCTGGAACGCTGCCTCAATCACTTTAGTGGTTTTCTCATTCACTGCCGGCAGCACACAGACAAACAGACGTATGGTCAGACACACAGGTCCATGGCGGGGAAACACAAACACACACCTATAAGTGACTGTTTATTCATTCCATATTTCCACTTCCATATACCAAAAACAAACAGGTTACCTACTAGAAATCTTTTTCATAATAACATTACCACCATATTGAACCATCGGTCTATGCTGCACACATGTGAAACCTGACAGAGGCTAAAAGTTAGTGCTGCCCCCTATAGTCAACCAAGCTGTTGAATAGTAGAGTATTATTCAATCCACTTTTCATTAGTCGGACAGTCCCGTAAAAAAAAAGGTTGCCAAACTTCGTTAAGGAGTCACTGCGACTAAAGTATTGGGGGGATTGTTGCAACACAGACCTTTTCTCTTGTAACACAGCAAGTCAGGAAGTACGTAGAGGTCCTATTAGCTGACTGGTTGCTCCAAGAACGGGGGGAGGTTTGTTTACACTACTGGCATAGGAGCTTTGGACTGCTGGGAAGAGGAGAGCCTGTTAGACCCAGAGCCGGCCTAACAGGCAGCAGAACCGGGCTCACAACCTGCGAGACCGACACAGGCCGGTGATTTACAGTGGTTCTGACCAGGAGTTTAACCTTGTAGAGAGTTAATTTGTGAGTAACTGTTAACGTTTATACATTACCATCATGTTGAGACTGACTATTAGTCCACTAGGGAAGTCTTTATTGGAAGGCAGCCCTACTAAAAATTACATGGAACACTTTTTTGCAATGAGCTTCTGGAAATGTGGAGATTCATGGTTTTGATGTTGAGAATCACTTTCACTAACAATACCCCTGGAGTGAAATCCATCATAAATTCCTTTAAAGAGCAGTTCTGGTAGGTTGGTGAATGATGATTGAATGATGAATTGTTACATTGACTAAATACCAAAACAGGATAAAAGTCCCACTCACACACAACTGCTGCAGGGTAGGTGAGGCGACATACAGCTCCAGTGAATCTGTAGGCTGAAGCCGGGTCCTGCAGGCAGGCGTGGGACGCCCCAAACACAGATAGGAACAGGAGAAGGAGCAACAGCGGCGGGGAACCATCACAAGGCATTGTGGACGTGGATATTTCACCTCTCTGAAAGTCGGTTGAGGTTTTTTACCCTGTGGACTGTCAGCAGTTCACTGTAAGTTCATCAGTTGCCTCCTGAGTGGGCCTGAGCAGTATCTTATCCAATCCCAGTTCAGTTCCAGAGCCTTACAAATCCTTCTACTGGGTCCCTTTAAACTTGAATTCTGCTCTCACACAAATGAGACTATGATTTTAAAGATTTCAGCGAGCTTTTTTGACTTTCCTTGGTTCTCTCTGAGAGAACCCTACAGCCTACCAATCTTGTTCTTTCCACTGTCAGGGAGGGCTCTATGTACTGCAACTATCTAGTGGAAACCCTGTCCTTCATCCAATCAGAGACAGACAACTTGTGTGGTTCACACTTGATGGATGGGTAAACACTGAGTCACATTTGTGTTTTGCACAAGCTCCCCTGAAAGTAAACTGGTCAAAGTACAACCTTTCCTCTGATGATGTGAGTGCTACAAACACTGTATACACAAACTCTAAAGCAAATTCAAATCAAATACTGAGTAAAGGCATTTAAGGTTAAAATAAATGCTTTTTTTTCAATATATGGATTGCATTAAGGAAACTAGTACATGATAAACAGATGCAGAAACCTGACATATCAATAAAAAGTAGATTTTGTTGTAGGTTTTATAAAAATGTGGGGCAACAGTTATCACAACCAGTATACATACCCCACAAAGATGCCTTCAAAATGACCAGAAACAGTAAATCCTCACAGTAGCCTACATGAGTGATGAGTCGATAATGCGTCTGAACTTATTCTACTCTCTCACCAGGTGTAAAACGCTGCTATGCTCTGGTCCAACTCTCTCTGAACAGACTCTTTCAACAAGTGCTGGCTCACAGGGAAACTCAATACAGTGAATTGTTCATTCCCTGGTGGTGATCCCCCCCCCAGCTGAATGAGTTTGGTTTGAGAGGAAAGGGGAGGTACAGTAGGACACAGAGACAGACAACAAAGGGAGTAACTGATCTAGTTGGGGGTAGGTATAGGTGGGGGTGGGGGTCCGCAGGATTCCAACAGCAGGAGAAACTGATCTAGATGAAGGGTCTGTGTCTGTGTGTGTGTGTGTGTGTGTGTGTGTGTGTGTGTGTGTGTGTGTGTGTGTGTGTGTGTGTGTGTGACCTCGGGCACCATCTAGTGTGAGCACTGTTACAAACAACATGCTAAGAACAGGGTTATTACAGATCATTTATGGCGAGGACACAAACTGTAACATCCCACAAACACACACATGCAAAGGCTAGACTCTATTCTTTTATATTTATTTTATAATTAGGGATGCACGATCAGTCGATAAGATATTTGATAATTTAGCATTTTTATATTATAAAACGCAGTTCATAACCTGTAGTTGATGCACTCCTGCGGGTAAGAAAGGCTGAGATGTGGTGAGCAAAGATTGATGATTTAATATTCTACAGCTCTGAGCTAACAACAACAACAGCAACAACAGCTCTTACTCTTCTGATCTTCATTTATTTATATAAGTTCATTAAAAAACTTCACAAACTTGGCTTTTATAGAAAATCAATCATTTTGCATAAGAAGTCCAAATAAATTATTATTAATATCAACCGATAATTTATTGGCTGTAATTTAATAATCCCGATAATTTATAATAATGTAAAATTCCCATTATTTGACGATAATTATCATGCCTCCCTACTTATATGATGAATATGTTATGCCCCGAGGTTCTTCACCAAATCAAATTCCCATTAGCTATGTTGAAATAAGAATATTCCCCGTGTGATAATCCAAAATCTCCCTGTCCACACTCCCACAATCCTCTCTTCCTTCAGGGAGGACTCACATTCAGCATTGTAAGATGAGCTCGTTGATGTGCTAGCATTATGAGGCTCTGGATCCGTCAGATTGATGACATTTTAGTCAATCGTTAACTTGAAAAATGCTCTGTTTTACGCGGGACGGGGTTTAGAAAGGGTAAAGTCACAAACAGGGTTCATGATGTTTTTAGATCTAGACGGAAAAACCTTAACAACTACTGGAAGGATGGCCTTGAAATTCTGTTCTGACATTCGTGCTCCCCAAAGGATGAATCGTACTGACGGGGATCTAACTTAGGGATCCTCTGACTTTTCATTAAAGAACCAGTATGTGTGGATTTAGTGGCATCTAGTGGTGGATTTGAAGATTGCAACTAACTGAATAGCGCTTGCCTTCCAAGCCATAGAAGAAACTACAGTGGCCATGATACTTGCCCTGATAAAGGCCCTAATCTAGAGGCAGTGTTGGTGCTGGGCTACTGTAGAAACATAGAAGAGGGCCGGCTCCCTCTGTATATAAAAATAAAAACGAATCAACTTAACAGTCCATTAGTGACAGAGGTAACAAGTTTGCTAACTGACAGTTAACAGTTAGCCAGTTTAATTCAACTTTTAATTAAATCTTATGAAACTCAATTAACTCTTAATTTTTAGGCCTACTGGTCAAATGCTGGTCCAATGTGAAGGATTTAGTGGCAGCTAGTGGTGTAGGTACAGATTGCAACTCCCTCACACCCACCCTGCCTTTCCAAGCACGAGGGAAAAAATTCTCATTCTCATATTATACACTAATGAGAACATAACTATGAATATTATATTCCATCCTCCTGAATGTTACCACATATGAAGGTTTCCAGAAGATGTATTCTAATGAGTAATATTATATTGCTAATATTAAGCTATTCAGGGGTGTGGCTTTTGTTGAAATGTCTCAACAACTATTGGATACATTGCCATGACATTTGGTACAGTGATTCATGTTCCCCTCAGGATGAACTGCAATAACTTAATTTGGTTTAATACCAAAACTTTGTGCTGAGTGGTGTGTGTACATGGTGACAATGGTAAGCATTATATCTGCTGTCAATGGCATCAACATGTTGGCATGCACATTAGCACAGAGCTCAAAGCACTGCTGTGCCTATGTGCTAGTGATGAGTGAGTAAACCATTATCTGTATCTGTTCAACCAACTGAATTACCTGTACTCATAGTGGGCGGGGCTTAAACCTGAAGTTGTCAATTTAAGTCTGAAATTGATATGGGTTGATCAGTTGCTATATTTATTAAAAAAACGATGTACAGAAGTTCAGAGGTTCAGAGCAACGTATCTGATCACAAGAGTAAGAGAACTGTTCACAGAACAAGTTTTTGAAATACATTTTTTTTTCAAAAGATTGTTGTTTCAGCCGAGTAATCGCTCAACCCTACTATATACAGCCGCACAAAGCAGCCTGTATGCCTAGAGTTTTAGTCGTGTCTCAGGCAAATCAAACCTGTCTCATCTCGGAAAAACATGCAGGTTTCTGCATTCTCATTACACACACATACCTGACCTGTTATTACACACCATGCCAACCCCCTTATCATCCTAGCATCTGTACGTTTAAACGCCATCCAACCGTCCTGTCCCCTTGTAATATAATGTGAAACTGTACCAATTCTCCTATGATTGTCTCTTTTTGTAATATTTCTTGCAAATGAAAAAAAAACTATGAAGGTATGTAGGGGAGTCCTGGAGGTTGGGTCACACACAAACATAAGCACATGTCTGCAGCAAACTCTGCTTGTATGTGTAGTGGAGCTGGTACAACTTGAGTGTACTCAAGGTCAATATATTGTATCAGGTTACAGTAAATGTGTGCCCTATAGTAACATGACCTTCAGCAAGTTCCTGTATGTAAACACTGTCCTCACCAACCATATCTGCAACAAATCAACACAACAGGGCACCGTTAAAGTTAAGAATATTTATTGCATCTATTATTGCAATATCTCCCAAAACACACTTGACTCTACAACGTCCATCAATAAGCAAACAAAATACGAAGGAAACAAAAAAAAGAAAACTTTATAATCTTAACATTAAAAGTTAAATTCTACATGGTGACCAATGTCACGAGCTACGATTGCTCCCCAGAGGGAATCTGAGTGCTTACTGTACAGCAGGGGTTAATGCAGAGCAGAAAATGGATTGGATTACAAGAAGATGGAAATTACTTTTCACACCTTTCCTTAAAGATGTAATACACCCTCTTTTACAGTGACATTGTTAAGAGAAGATAGTATAACCCACTTGTTCCTTGTTACGGTTGAATAAAACATGCTCTGATTACAGCCAGTTAATGCAAAACAACAGATCTGGACTCAAGTCCCCTAACTTCATTATTATGAGGACTTGAGTGAAGTCACCAGAAACTGCATTTCAGAACAGTTTTTTTTCAGTCATCTGATCTGTGACAGTGAGGGTTTCTCTATCAGTACGATATAAAACTGCTTAAAAATGAAAGGTACATTAGGAATGATGTGGGGTAGCTTCTTGATACCATATTTACTATATAATTTGGAATGTTAACTGAATGAAGTTAAGACCTGTGACAAAATAATAAAAGGTGCTGTTAAACCTCCGTATACAGAGGGCCAAGTAGCTGAGAAGCAAACTTGCCTCAATTCCATAGATATTGTGAAGATGGTTTCTGACATTATAAATAATTCTAACTTAGTTTTTGCTTTAATTTAAACAGCACTGATCGAACCTTTTACCTGTTTTGTTTTGATGGGATTTTATATTAAATGAAATGTATACTTAGTCCCTTCTCTGAAAAACAACACATAACCCACCCACAACTCTGAGCCCTCTACGCATTATATTTAGATTTACAATCTTCCCGTGAAGAATAATAAATCATTACCCCTCTATATGTAAGGACGCTTGCATAAAATACATGTTGTAAAGTGCTTTGTGTACATATAGTACATTTACAAAATGTGATTTCTTTTTTTGTTTACTATGGCAACATCTCTATTTTACATTTATATGTATTTGGTCACAATCACCTTCACCTGTCACTCAATAATAGGAAAATCCACCCAAAACAGAACTGGAAAACTTAAGTCATATCAGAGGTGCAATGTTATTTTCAATTTTGTGAATCAGAGTTGATCATTTTTATTCATGATTTGGATTTTACTCTCCTTGTCAAGTACTGGTTGTGAACTGAAGTTCCTCTCACGAGCATATTGTATAACAATATATATAACATATTGAGTATATAGTTTGAATATTGGCTCGTGTGAATTTCAATAGTAGGATTTTAAAACACCTAAAATCATATCTTATTAAAGTTAAAACAAGTTGCTCAAACAAGTGAAAACAACATCTGTCCTACTTTTACAGCTGAATTCAACCCAGGCTCCATACATGGAGAACAAAATGAATGTGTCCTTGGAATTTAGATTCAGATAGACTTTACATACAGTACGGAGTTCTGTCTGTGCGTGGATTTTCACTTCAACTGAACATGTATTGATCTTGATTATATTCTTCATCATGAAAACTCAGACAAGCTGATTTGGAATCCTAGAGGATCAGAAAGCCTGCATACATACACGTCCTCACAGAAGAATAATTTAGCCACAACAGTCCAACAGTGTCAGCCGTTCACCGTTTACCCTCAGCTGAGAGAGCACATGGAGAACTGGGATCCCACTGAACTATTTAGTATTAGGAATGTTGTCTGGTCTTTCTAGCCCTTTGTGTCCTTTGTTTCCAGTCAACAGTTTGGAAATTCAAGGGCCTGGCACTGCTTTGTTTTGCTGGCATTTCAATAGGGAGGTTCCAGTCATTGTTAAAACACATGGATATCTTCCTTTTCCTTCCACCAGAGATTATTGTTCCCCATGGAAAAATATGAAAAACTGTCTGGTGTCTCTGTCTGTCCCAGGTGGTCAGTTGGCCACACCCTGAGGAACCTCAGGTATGAGGGAGGAGAAGAAAGTTTTGAAGAAAACCCAGGCCGTCCACATGGCCGACACCCTGTGAGGAGGCACTAAAACTGCCGTCATTGGTCCGTCTGATCCGTCCGCTGCAGCAGCAGGTTCCTCCCGGTCAGCAAGCTCGTCAGCCTGAATACACAGTTTAACACACTCATTAAAAAAAAGATGATTTATGGCAGGGGGTTTCAAAGTGTCTTCTAGCTTAAGTATACTATTTCAATCTACAGATCATCCTATAGTAGTTTATTGGGCCCACTATGATTAGATTAGACTCCCCAGTGGAATTCTGCTACATTTAAAGGGAACGTCATGTCAACAGAGCACAGGCCTTGAACCACTGAGGCATGAGGATGCCCGACACAGTTTATAAGACTTTAATTAAATGAAGGTGAATCAGAGGGAAACATCTGGGATGTTTTCTTACTGGATTTGGGTTTGGGTTCCCGTTCTCGTTCTGCTGGTTGTGCTGGGCCACAGGGGGCTGCAGAGGGTTGGGTCCTTGGACCTGTACTCGCCTTCTGAAGGGAAACCAACCAGCAGTGTGTCTGGAGGAGAATAACAGGAGAGAAAATACATTGATATAAATGACAAATAAAACTGCCTTTGAGGCGCCTTCAGGAAAAGATAAACTTGAAATATCAAAACTGAGGCAAAGCCTCATTTCCTCCACTCAACTACACCCTAACAGGAAGTTGTGTACATTTGCAAAGTCTGCTGTTTATTGGTGTCATGTCAGAAAACAGACTTTTCTCGAGTGCATGATCGGCACGGTGCATGTGCTCTCAACAGAGATGAAAAAAAAAGCATCGTGGCTCACTCCTTCGCTACTTCCATCATCAGCTCTGTTTCTTTCGTTTTTACCATTTAAGTGAGTTGCTAGATTTACTTGCCTGACGTGGCATTTTACTAGCACTGGGCAAACAGGAAATCCTCACTGCTGAGCCCTGATAAGAATGTTAAAGAGTATGGCTTTCTGCAACTACTGCACTCCACTGAATACTACGTCTAGTTAAAGCTGCATTCATTCATTCACAACAAGCCTATTTACACATCCAGCAGACAAGGAACAACATTATCATTTATTTAAAGTTGGTGTCTCTACCAGCTCCTGAGGGAAACGCCAGTCTGTTTAGTTGCTAAATGCTCCACTATGTTCACCAGCTAGTCTCCAACTGTGTCTGTGTGCTAAAATGCTCCTTAGAGCTGGGGGAAACTCTCTGTGGGTTTATCACTATGAGCGAATCCTCTCACATGAATATAACATATTACTTATATGAATATAAATAATAGGAACATAAACATATATAAACATATGCATTTAAAGAACCATTATTGGGATTTATAATAATGTTTAATTTTATGTTACTCATATTTTGCCATTTCTATCTTACACTCGTTTTCACATCTCTTTTTTTTCTGGGTGAAGAAAAATGGATCTTATCCTCATCTTGAATAAATACTCTAGTTTGCATTAGATTTGTTTGTTTTCCTTCTGGTCATTTATCTTGTTGGGAACATTCCTCATACATATCCACAGTACTTCTTAACACCTTAATACCTTTTTGCGGCTAACAGGCGCTGTGTGTTGAATTGAGGGTGGAGGATAGAAAGAGATGTCGGCTGTCTCTAAATCAGAAATACTTTATAATTTTTTTATTTTTAAACATTAACCTTCCAAGTGTTGCTACATTTTGACTTAAGTTAATGTGTTTGAGAAATGTATTTTCCCTCAGAGAAATGTAAGCGTTTCCCTCACTTTCATCAATTTAATTTTCCTTGACAAACACTTTGTCAGACTAATGTTATGTGTATCTACACTATTGCTCAGTAGTTTGGGGTCAAACTGCCAGAAAAGCTTGATTTGGTACACTCAGATGGCTGAGAGGACTACACTGCATTTTTTAATGGTCTTTCACACATTTAAGTTGTAAAAGGTCCACTTTACAAATCAATTATTTTGTATGAATTTGCAAAAGAATAATAATTTGTTCATGGAGAACAAAACGCTGTGCTGGTTCAACCAAACTAACAACTGACGGGGAAGAAAGAGAGATCCCTCTGAGCAACAGTTAAATAAGAATATAAAAAATCAGCAGTCATTGGTTTAAAGAAACTGGAAGCTTAGCATCAAAATCTGTGCACAGTTCCTGTAAACAGGAACAGGTTCCTGTTTCAATGTCAAGTACACAATAATGCCTATAACAGGCTGCAATCACCAGGCGTGTTGCTTTAGCAAAGCTATTCTTTAAAAACAGAAACAGAAGGTTAGTTTAAAGTTAGTACTATTGGAATTGGACCACAGAATATCAGCTGAACATACTATGGACTGACAGTTTAAACCTATTTAGTGCAACCACTGCGTAGATTGAAGTTGTAAGCACTGTTGTGGTTCAGTAATGATCTGGGGTCACTGAAGCTTTTCTGGACTAGAAAAAAAGATTCAAAATGAAAGGATATTTAGGGGGGAAAAACAGTATTCTCCTTTACCTCCTATAAAACGATTTCAAATATAAATAATACATTTGGTGTCTGAATTATACTGGCTATATTGCTATTACTGAAGGAAAGAAGAAAAACACCCATATAAGAAGTGACCCCAAACTTTTGAGTGGTAGTGTATATTAGTGTGTGTCTCAGTGAATGGTTGCGTAACAGCAAACAGAGTGTGAGACTGGAACATGTTGAGTAAAGGAACAAAATGGCCTGAACTGATGATAACAACAGTGTTGATGAGGAACATGCTTTCCCTGAGCACTGCTGCCAACTGCTAACCCATGAACATAAACCCAGCTGAAACTGAGCTAAACACAGTTACTATTTAAACAATGTTCATTTAACTGCTTTAAATAGGTTTAGTGGAAACACTTTATTCCAATTCCAGACCTTTAGAAACAAGTAGAGACTCACTGCATTCATTATTCTTCCTCTTCACAGAAGAGACCAGTCAAACTTCCTCAAAAAATCTTTTGATCAATGTCATAGTTTCACAACCTCCTTTTTACTTACAGTATGCCTTTATCAGCAAATTGCATCAACTCTTATTTCATATACCAAAACAAACTGCTAATGAGTGCAACCGATGCAGCCAATTATTATTATTATTAGAATTACTATTATATATTGATATGTTTTGAATTTCTTTTGATGAATCAACAGATTGTTTAGTCTATAAAATGCCACAAAAATGCGAGTGAAAAATGCCTGTCACAGTTTTCCAGAGCCCATGGTGACATCTTCCAATTTCTTGTTTTGTTGGAACAATGCAACAGTCCAAAACCCCAATATATCTGATTTATGACTGACATTGTTGCTTGATGTCTGATTTCAACAACTATGAAAACTGTTCCTGAATATTATTAGTCAACTGACTAATCGATTAACTGACCAATACTGTTGTTTACAGGTAATTTTCTGAAAGTTGACTCTGTTCTCAACTGTATTTGACAAAACAAGCACTGTAGACTATAAATACATAAAAATAAAAAAACTTTTACCAGTGGGCTGTTAGCTTTTTCCTTTGAACTCAGCTGCTTTCAGTTGTTCATTCTGATATGAAGCTTTGGTATAACTGGTTTATATCCTGAAGCCTGGGCTCTAAGTATACACAGTCATCAGCTACTTTGTTTATTTAGTGACACATCAGATATTATTATGTAACAGGCATTCTACTATGCTCCTATTTCCTAATTTCCAAACAAACAGTAACATATATGGTGTACTGCTGTTAATATCACACATAGACAGGCTTTAGTGGACAATGCAAACAACCTGGACTCCAATTATGGCCTTGCATAGTTTTAAATGATACATATTGTGAACTGGGAGTTCGCCTGGCTTTCAAGAGAAGCTCTGGATGCCAACACAAGCTGCTGATAAGGGCGGGTAAGGTTGAGAGCTCTATAGTGGAGTGCCTTGAAGTAAGTCACTCAACCCACAACAGTGCAGTGAAGCTCTTATTGTAAAGGTTCTTAAATGTCAAAAGTAGAAAGCAACAGATTGAACTTACAGGTACATAAGGAGGAGGGTGCTCATCACCAGCAGAAAGCGACTCAGGTTGGAGTTGAAGTACACGATCATTAGCAGAACGCCTAATCTTGCGGTGGTGTACAACCAGTCCAGCCAGTCACGCTCCACATCCTCCTCGTCCTCCATTACAGGCCCGCCCTGCGCGTTCATCCGCATGTTCTGGTTGGCCTCCGCGGGGTTGATGAAAGCACCGTCCTGCACTGGGTTCTGATTCGCTGGCAGGTTGTCGATGGGGTTCTGATTGGCTAAGGGGGCTGGAACAGGCACATGGTGGGCCGGAACAGGAGGGTACTGGGCAATGGTTGTAGCTGGTGCAGAGGGGACGGTGCCTGCTGCTGCCAGGGCCGCGTGGCTGTTGGTGGAAAATGAGACAAACATCGAGAGTATTAGAAACAAGCTGGTCAAAGTCATCCATGGCCATGTCGGACCACAATGAGAGAGTGGGGAGATTACAACAACAGGAAAGTAGTATGAATGTAAAGTGTATCAATGAATACTCACTATTGCATGTAATACTGTCTAGCGTAGACATGCTGGAGCCACAGTATCTGTTGAGGGCTGTACAGGGAGTAGGTGGGAAAGGTTGGTTGGGTCATCTGTGGTGCTCCAGGCCTGCAGGGAATGATGACAGACTGTTAATATCAGTTCAACACTAATGTTTATCCAGCAGAGAGAGACAGTGTACCTTCAGTTGTTATGGGAAAAAAATCCTGAAAACAGCCATACTGCTAAAACCTGATGCCTGGTAACGCTAATAAAACTATGCAAATGCAGTTTATACGTAAATACAGATACATTATTTCTTATATTGTGGCTTACACTGCAGCAGCAGGCCATGACGGAGATCCTGATGGAGACACTGGGGTATGTGTGTGAGCTGGAGCAGCAGCTGAGGCTGGAGAGGTCTGCCTCCTCTGCCTCAGCTCTGGTGTGCTGGGAGTCTGGACTGAGGAAGAGGAGCTGCTGGGACTGGGTGAAGCAGAAGCCGCTATGGGCCTTGGACTGGAGGTATGTGGCTGTTCGGTCTCTTTGGTCTGCAAAAGCAAATTTGGAATTGTTTAAAATTGTAGCGGTGCCTGCACTACAGCAGCACTACAGCAAACCCACTGTATTAAGATACATCTGTAGAGATGAGTTCTACTGTCTAGGGTGTTAAGGTGGGGAACAATGTGTTGTGAAACTAAAGCGAGGTATCTTTAGCTGTACTTTTGATCTGAAAACTGTAGCGGAGTTCCTCTTCACGGTAGGATGGTAATGAGGGAGGAAGTTAAGAAGTGCACCTGTCATCTTCAAACTAATCTTTCTGCCTTTGAGCTTGATGTGTAACAGCAGCCTCAAGCTCCTCTAAAATCTCTCAGAGCTGATGTACAGTACGTTGTTGAATTTATGAGACTGAAACGTCACTGAAACATTTATAAAACACAGTAAAAGAAAACAACGGCTAACTTTGATCTGGATTCATCTATGATGTGAAAAGTAACCTAATTATATCCTTACATGATGAAATTATTCAAAATATCTAAATTAGTTTTAAAGTAAAATGATGAAGTAGACTTTGTTGAAGGACCCAGATGTAAACTGCAAATAAGGAAGGTGAATATGTGAAACAAGCCTACTATGCAAATTTAGTATTTCAGTTGACTGAAACCAGCTGTTTTGCTTACACAGCCATGCAATCTAAAAATAAAACCAATACCTGAACACAGTTTCATTTACCCAGCATTGAACACAACCTCTGAACATCACTACCAACTTTAAATCAGCTGTGATCTGTTTCTGTTTCCTGCAAATGTGTCCTTGGGCATGACAGTAAATATCTGCCTGCTCCATGGGCATGACAACCTGGTTGCCCCTAACACCATTTCTCTCTTGAAAAAGTGGTTTGTTAAAACAGGTTCTGAGAAAGGTTAATTATGAGTAAACGTCATTATTTCTCACCTTAGGTCTGGCTCCCAGTTGTCCTTGGGGTTGATTCCTAAAAGCACACACAAGGTGCAGTGTGGGAGTGGCTTCATTCTGAGAAAGTGGAGATAAATGCCTGATTAGAAGAGCTACATTGTAAAACACACTGATACATTCAAGCCTAAGTAGTACAGCAAACAGAATTAAACCTATGAGTATGAGCATGAAACCAGCGCTAAAAACAGCAGAACCCAGACTTTGTGGAACTGTTCCATAGACAACGATCTGAAAGGTCTGAAAGGCAGAATCCTTCATCTATACCAAAAACATGAATGCAAAGCTGGAGATCTGACAGTGCTGACGTGGGCCAGTCTACAGTTTGTGCTGCCCTTTGCTGTTCTCATTTGTGTGATTACATCTAATTTCAAATTTCAGTTGTTATGGAAAAATACCCTGAATGACCACAGCCCCACAACAGAGGAGGGCAGTGAGGAAGAGAGGGAGCTTGTGCTCTTCATTCAAGACGATTCTCCTGCTTTTGCAGTTTACAGAAATAGCAGAGCACGGTGTGGAGAATAAACTCAAACTGTTTGGTTCTGGATACTCTGCCTGCTCTACAGTCAGAAGATAGTAAGCTTTCTGATCATGTTGATTTATAAACACAATGTGCCACAGCCCTCGAGACGGAACCAAACACAACAGGTGCTGTGTCCTCTTGGAGGACTTTGGATGTTTTTCAGTGCTGGGGTTGTCTTACAGCTGACACTATTTTATCTTCAGCAATATGCGCCTCTATTGGGAATCACACACAAAAACAATGAACCAGAAACATGGAATAATATACAGTGCTGGTTTTATAAAGCACAACAACCCTTTCACAGGCCATAGAAATCCTTTGCTGCTTTTTATTAACGGTTGGTGACAGAAATGCAGACTCAATTCAACTAGCCAGTTGGTTGCCAGTGTAACACCTGCATAAAAGCATATAATCAATCTGTGATCTTTACTGATTTAAGGTTTTGTGGTAAGTATAAAGTATGTTAAATTTCACTGACACAAAGTTCTATGGAAATAGATTAAGACAGAATGAAAAGTGCTGTTTGTAAGCACAGCAATGTGCAAACACACAAACATATTCTCACATGTACCTGTCTGAAGAGATCTCTGATGTGCAGATGGTCGGGCAGCAGTTTACCAGCATAGATCAGTCTCTGGTCACTCACAGCCTACAGAAAAACAAACAAGTTTAATTCAAATTGTTGGCAAAGCAACTTCAGTCACTATGCAAATATAATTGACTATGCTAAGCTAAGCTACTATGTAAATATGCATTAATGTAATGCATACTGTATATACAGGGTGGGTATAAGAGTCAATGATGATGATGGGAAACAACCTTAAGGGATAGAATTTTAAGATATACAATATAAAGTTGCAGATTACGATAAACCAATATCTGCCACACTGGTAACATTTTTAGATGATAATATCTGTTCTCAAACATTGCTTTTGCTAGCTTCATTCACGTGTATTTATGTCTCATGTGTATGCAGGTTGGTTAAAGTATGTTAGTAATACATGTGTAACACGTATGTTTGTCTCTACTGATATAAAGGGTTGAATTTCCTTATGTTCTGTGTGTATAGGACTTTAAATATTTTTTTTAAAAGATGTTGTAATCTCTGGTATAGAGTAAGTACTATACAAACACATTTTATTTCAATGATGTCATGTATTCTGTTCTAACATTACCTGCACAGCAGATGAGCTGGTGCGAATTCTGTTGACTCAGCCTTATCGAGGCACATGGCTAATTTTCCCAGGAAGTGATAAACCTGATCAGTAATCATTAATTTTCCTGTGACAAGCAAGGCCATGGACCAATATACCTGACAGTCTACTGCCTGGCCTTATCTGCCTTATCTGCACTCTTTCAATCAGCATCCCCTCCATCTCACTGAAGCACAGATCCTCCTCAGCTCATCTGTCCTGTCATCTCAGCAGCAGGACACTGGATGGACACTGTGCCCTTCAATGCTGCAGACCTCCAGAGAGGATGAAACTTGGCTGCCAATATGCTTAAGATTTAAGGTACCCGGCTGACTCTCCTATTAGAGAGGACTGAGTGCACCTCATTCTACCATTCAACTTTTTTGGTCATTGTGCTTTAGGCCTGCACAGTACGGTAAAAACATAATGTTGCAACTATATTTACAGATATTGTAATTGTGATATGATTCATAATTAGTGTGAGAATGATCATTTTACATTTTACCTTTATTAAAAAACTGCAGCTCCAGTGATTTGTATATTGCCCTTGTGCTTCACAATCCTCGGGGATTACCAAAAGTTTACCAAAGGTTTTTTCAATCTTTAGTATCTCTATTTATATTTGTATATATTGTCTCCTTATACTGTCTCTCTTTTTATCTTTATTTATATTTCTCTATATTCATTGTAATGCACCAATTTACCAAGGCAAGTTCTTTGTATGTTAAAACCTACTTGACATTAAACCCGATTCTGAGTCTGATTTCAAACACACGATGAACAAATTTGAGATTATAATTATATAATGTGAAATCAACTGTATTTGAATCCCATGGGCACACAGGTATGTATTTTTATACTTTCTAACATACAAACTGCTGTAGATGTGACTGAAGTTATACCTGACGGGAACTCTTTCTGTCTTCAAGGAAGGACATAATTAAATGAGTCCCACAGAAAGAGTTCTTAACATAAATACTGTCAATCGTGCAGGGTTGGGGTGAGCACACACACACACACACACACACACACACACACACACACACACACACACACACACACACACACACACACACACACACACACAATAACAGCTGTGGACGGGCGGCAACTGGCTCGTGTCAGGCTGACATTCCAGAACACAGCCTCGAGCTGCTGCCTGTCACACGAGCCACCTAGCTCCGCTAACATTAGCCAGCTAACTTCACTTAACTTCTGTGTCTCCCGATAACTCACCGGTCTGGTTGGGTAAACGGTAGACAAATGCGTTTTTAGGTCCTTTACAGTCCAGTTCAGACAGACGCCTTCGACGGTTTGGTCCTCGCGGGTCTGGTTGGGCGTTTTTATGAAAAGCGAAATGGTCTTTTGTTCAGAAACCCCCACATCCATCTTTACTCTTTCTCTCGCTGTACTCTCGCAGTTTAGATACAATGTTTACTCGCTACAAATACGATAAGAAGAGTCCTCCCGATACAGTTCGTACGCCAACAGTCTCGTCTAAAGTCACACTTGTGGGACTGGATCTAGAAGTGTCTTTGTGCTGGTTCATACGGGACTTTAACTGGGAAGAATGGTGTTTCCAAACACACGGTGGCCGCTGCTGATTGGTTACCCTCCGCTCGTGCTGAGACGTGGAGGCTCGGAGAATCGTTACTTTGTGAGCATGCGCGGTAATTATTATGGTTTCGAAGATCGTGTATTTACAAAAACTACAGTAGCGAGTTCGCTCACTCTGGTGCGATTTTGGATACCAAAAACAAAAGATATAAAACACCAAGCTAGACAGTAAGAAAATAAGTAAGAGAGACATGTGGCTGATTTGTTTAACAGCAGACTAATTAAACAGAGCTCGTAAAACAAGGAACTGCTTCTAACATTTGCTAACACAAGCTAACACACAATGTCATGTGACTGTGGTTTGACGTTTACTCTTCCTGAACATAGAGACAGAGTGAGGGCTCTTTTCTTCTTTATCCTCTCAGACAACAACACATTTTTCTGACAGCAAAATGTGTCTATCCACTGAAGTTGCATCAGTCATGTTAGTTACATCATAAGTCAATCGACTTGCAAATGATCAGAAAGGAGTTATCCAATAGCTAATGAACACAGACTAGGGATATTTGAGTATTATTGACACCCCTAAAAATCATAGTGGTTTGGCAGATGCAAATGAAATTGAATGAGAATGTGTGAACCAGTGTGTCATAGTCACTACTTGACATGACTGGCAAGATACATTACACATTGTAGTAGCATATTGATGAAGGGGAAGTCTGTAGAGTCTAATACGAAACAATATTCTAAATGTTATTGACCCCTTCAGAGAGGTAGAAAAACCAAACATTTTGACTGGTGACAATGCATTCATACACACACATAGACACATACAGTCTCTTCATATAGTATGAAGCACACGGTCTAGTGTTATTTTTCATTTGTTCTGATGAGTCTTTCAATATTAAACATGTTAATTAGAACAATGATACTAAAGTAACCAATGTGTGCCATATTTAAGGAAATAAAACATTTTATGTGCACATAACTCAAACATTACATCATTTTGATAAATAATTTTTTGAAATTGTAAATATGCTCTGAAGAGTGATTCACTCCTTCCTTACGTCTAAAACGTGTCAATCTTTACACAGTAGATGTCAGAGTTAACATGGTAAATACAGGAATCATACATTAAGTACAGGAGTAGATAATCATCAATAGACAGTCACCCAAATCATCAAATAAAAAATGTCAGAATGTTAGTGAGTTATAATTTGTAGTTCAGTATGTACGCATTAGTCAGACATTTCATTGGCAGTAGAAGGTGAGGACGTTTTCCTGGTTTCCTCTGACCAGCAGGACTGGAGGTCTCAGATCACGTGACAAGAAGTCCAGCCACGCCAGGTAGAGAGTACTGGGACACGCTCCTCTCCTCCCCACCGGCATGGTGCTGCAGGAGACATACAGAGTCCCGTCAGGGAAGGTTTAATGTGGTCAACAGTTACTAATGATGAGCTCAAAACATCCACAAGCGATTGCTTTTAAAGTCAAAGTGACTGTGTGTGTATACTGTCAGGCTTAAAAAATGACAAGCCAGGAGCCATTCACCCAGAGTGGAGTGGTGCAGTTGGCAAGTCATGTAATTACACAGCCACTCCTTTTACTCTGCCTTGTCTACCTTCTGATGAAGTGACCTACAGAGAAGAATGACTGTACTCACATAATAATGAGAGCAGCTTCTCTGGAGTAATCCTGCAGAACTTCATTTAGACGGATCTGACGGAGGGACTGAATTCCACAGAGAACAGTGGAGGAAGACAGGAGGAAAAAAAAGGGTTTGATTATTTCTTCCTCCTAATATGTGCTGTATCCAAATGTGTGTGATGGTCAGGTTGCGTTAAGTGTGTGTGCATTTCTGTGTGTGTCTCAGACCTTGGCCTTGTTCCTCTCTAAATCCTGTTCAGTGATCATCCACGGCTCCTCCTGCTGTGTCGGTGGCCCAGAATCGGAGTCCTGTTTGGGGTTTGTATCCAGCCTGAAGCGACCCACCATATTCTCAAACTGATGAACACTGGAGCACACAGACACACACAGGGATCATAGGTACTTAGACTGTTGCAATGTTATGCATTGTGGCTGTGAAACTCGCAGATTGCCCTATCTACAGCCAGTGTTTGGTTTGTCCATTCTACTGTAGAAACATGATGGTTCAACATAGCAGCCTTTGCAGAAGAGGACCTGCTCCCTCTGTAGATAAAAGAGGCTCACTCTAAGGTTGAAAGATGATTCTCATTTTCAGGTGATTATACACTAATGAAAACCTACCTATGAATATGATATTTAATTTCTGCCAGTAGATCCTCCTGAATGTTACACACTGGACCTTTAAATCTTTTAATAATATAACAATATAACTATATAAATATATATATATATATATATATATATATATATATATATATATATATATATATATATATATAAAGAGCAACAGTTACATGATTTTATTCCCCAATCATTTGGCATCATATAAGCACAAAAAATGATTATGGAGGTAAAAAGTCTGTCAAGTCAAGTCTGTGCAGAGAACCTTTTCATGACAGGGCCTCACAATCAGGTAATAAAGCAGGACCCTTGTGTAACTGTGTTGACAGACAGTAAGACCTGGAGCTCTGCTGGCCACAGACATTCTGGGGTTCACATGTGGAATTACAAAATGACTGAATGAATCTTTTTCCCTGTTGTTTGCGCTTTACTTCATTGTTGTACATTAAACAAGCTTTGGAAACCGTACTTCTCAGGCTTGGGGTTCTGGTAGATGTCAGGAAGCACTTCAACGTCATGGAAACCCAGACGGAACTTCTTGATCAGTGCCAACACTCTGGAAAGAGAATGTAAATACATAGTGTACAGCACAATTTACAGAATATTCACATGATCTCGTACTTGTAAGCTTTTAATCATTAAAGACATTTTGAATTGTCATAACAGGAAAAGTGGCTGCACCTGCAGACAATAGTTTGCTAACATGATAGTCAGTGTTGTGTTTACCCAGGTGTCTGACGCTCACATTATCGCAGGTTTAAATGAACTGGATTCATCATTAAGGTTTTTAGTTACTGTTCTTTTCCCTCTATGCCCTGCTAAATGTCTGCTGTGAAAAAAGTCTTTAACTAGATATTTCATTCATCTCCATTTACTCTGACACCTTTTTGGGACATGTTCTGAAGAAACCAGAAACCAGCACTTACTCCTCTTTCTGCTCTTCCTTCTTGTCTGTTTCACCCCCCACAAACACTCGGACCTTACATTTGGCCCAGCGCTTCCTCCGGGTCAGCAGGTAGGGCAGCAGCAGGGTCAGACCTGGTAAACCACACACACACACACACACACACACACACACACACACACACACACACACACACACACACACACACACACACACACACACACACACACACACACACACACACACACACACACACACACACACACACACACAGAAATGTGAGGTAATATTCTTGGTGGAGGAAATGAAAGTGATAGAGGGATGGAGAGATGATCAGACCTCCGTCATCAGACAGCCAGTACACATCGATGGTGCTCTTTCCTTGTTTTTTCTGGAACACCGTACTAGGCTGAGGCTCCACTTCAATGGAGACAGCAGCTACAAATAAGTTTGTATACACAGAAAATAGTTATTTTCCATTTACATCAGCTTATAGGGTTTCTGGGTATTTAAGTTCAAAATCTCCCATTTAGTACCTTTTACTTTTAGTTTCTACATTCAAGGTAAACTCAGGCCAAGTTAAATTGCCATGATATGTAAAATAACTAAATTGTAATGATATGATCATGCATATACATACAAGTAGTGCTTGTTGTAATGCGGTGAGCGGCAGAGATGGTGGTTATACTCTCTGGTCCTCCATCAAAGGCTGCATTGACTGAAATAAAAACAGAGGATCCAATTGAAGTGAGTAACTCAAATGATGATGATGATGATGATGGATGAATGTGGACAGCACTCCCCAAAATGCCCCTTGTTAACTCTGCTTCAACTGACAGATTGTTGCTGTGAAGTTATTTTACTCTTGATGTACTCGACTCTAATTTGAAAGGGCTCTCACCATGTGATTGAGATGGATGAGAGACATCCAGTCCCTCCCTCATTCTCAGCACGCACACACCGTACTGCAGGTCAAATGCATCACTGAAACACACAGCGTTGTTATGTTGAATTTTGACATTGGACATTATCTGATTATCTGATTATCTGAGCTTATAACAATAGTTCAAAGGTGGATGAGGTTAATTATTCCCCACTGTACTCACTGCAGTATCCCTATGTAACTGTGTGCAGCCTGAGGAGTATCACTGCGCCAGTCTCTCTTGAAACCCATCAGCAGAACATTTGGCTTAATACGACCCAAACCTGCCCCCTGGTGGACAGTCAACAACATGAGAAGAAGAAGAGAGGAGTCAGGCCTGATTGGCAGAGCAAGTTCGACTTCTCCATGGCTCTCTTTGAGGTATCCGGATTCACCGAACCTTACAGAGACAATCCTGGATAACTGATCTCACACAGCTGGTTACCAGCTGGCTCTGCTATTTCCAACACTATCAGATCAGGAATGTATTTCAGGTAATTAGAAATATTTCATATAAGATGAAAGGGTGATACCCACAGAGACACTGGTACTAACAACATCAACGGATCCAAAGCAGATCATTTAATGAAATAAGATGAAAAGAATGCATTGCAGCTGTAAAAAGCTGTAAAAGACGATATAAGAACTAAGCAAAGAATTTGACAATGAAAACAAGTGATAGAAACAGATGACAATAAATCATTAACCAAATACTTAAAGCAGTTGGTTATACATGTGTGTAAACTACTAAAATAGTCTCTAACATACTGACATTACTGAATTGTGATGCTATTTGTGCTGTTGACAGAAATGCAGATAGTGGAAATGTATTTCTTGGCACTTGAATGACGGTTTGATGAAGTAAGACAGTATGTGACAAACTGTGTTTGCAGGTATTCTGTTTTTTTAACCCATGAATGACTAACAATATTTCTATGTTAAGGAAAAGCCCCACTTATTGTTTATCTGTTGG